GCATCCTAACACTTCCCATATCATAATTGGCTTCATCACTCTGTTTCCTCTCCATCAATCAGCTGGTGTGTGGTGTGCCGTCTGGCGCAAAACGGCTGCCATCGCATCATCCAGGTGGATGCTGCACACTGGTGATGGATGAGGAGATTCCCCCCTATGCGTGAAGCGCTTTGAGGGCCCAGAAAAGCGCTATATAAATGTAAGGAATTATTATTTTTATTATAACAAAGCTCAAACAAAGTTTGTCATCTTCCTGTGACAAACAGCCACATGCCAAGAAAGAAGAATAGAATCTGCTGCATGTCCTCCATTGTTGTTTAAGGTGCGAAAGGTGCCACTTCCTATCTCTAAGCACACATCTACTTTAGAAACCATGAGTTTTCAAAAGATGCAATATGTGAAAGGCTCACTTGCCTCACAAGAATGACTTTGATCGCAACTTTCTGTTATACACCATGGCTATCAAAAACATGGCAACTACCGCATGGGAGTCGGTAGCTCTACCAATGAAGCTAAAGACCACGGCCTCTAGCAACGGTCGCTAGAGCACCTTTAGAGGTCAGAGGAGTGAGATTTATCTGCACAGCACCTACTAGCTGGCCTCTGTTACACTCACCCCCCTAAACCTCACTTCCATCCGGGTCACGGCACCAATGTAACCCCACCGGTCCTACACCACCCAACCCGCTCCGAGCTAGGATCCGAGCGGCTACCTTCCGCATGGGAGTCAGTTGCTCTACCAAGGAGGCTAAAGACCATCTCCTCTAACATCTGTTGCTAGAGCACCTTTAGAGGTCAGAGAAGTGAGATTTACCCGCACAGCACCTACTAGCTGGCCTCCATTACACATACATAACACAAATCCAAGTGAACATTATTTTTATGGCCATAATGTGAAAATGGAGGAACTGTATTGAGCCACAATGAAGAAAATTTGTTTTTGTTTTTTTTAAAGAAAATTTTCAGTGGTTTGGCATGATATGTTATTGTTTTTTTTGGTTGCAACTGAAAGGGCATCCGTCAAATAAAACATATGCCAGAGTGGTTATCAGTTCATTCCACAGTGGCATGAAACATAAATTAAGCAAGTTAGTTAAAATATTATAAATATTCCAAAAACATTTGCCAGTCATGTTCGACCAACCTAATCACGTGGTCCACCCAACATCTAGAATGTTGAAAGATAAAAACATTTCAAAAGTTGTCATCTATTTTATAAACACGCATTCACTGGCTCTACTGCAATCTACCTTTTTAAGTATCAAACTGTCTTCATAACACAACATAATCTACCTCTGTTACAGTATTCTCCTAATACTTAACACTATGAACAACAGGATATGATGTTGCTGTGTGTCTAAAGGTCTTGTTACATTGCACAGGATTAAGACTCACACAAAGAATACATAAAGGCAGGGATAAGAAGAGTTGGTGAAGGCAAAAGTGCTCAGGTTACACATTACACACATGATTAGGCTTCAGGCTCCTGTTCTAAGCTTGTTTTCGTCACACTCCAGAGCACTTATGTTAGGGAATCAGTACAATAACAAGCTTTGATGGCAGTTTGATGGTGCAAAACCTCCTGCTAAGGTGTTGTTTTGGGTTGGATCCCGGTGCAGTGTTACTATTCTGAGGTTGTTTGGGTTGTTTTAAGATAATGATTGATTATTGCTTATACTCGTTTAAGTTAAAAAGGCACACTTTGAGTCTCTGGGATTTTCTGGTACCCAGATTATCAGTTTAAGTAACATTATATTTTGATGATCCATTTTAAACACAGTATTATTACACTGTTAGGGTTATAGAATAAGTTGTTTGCAGAATAGTAACAAAGTCACATTATCATTTCCACTTACTAACATGCATTCAAATGTATTCATTCTTGCCAGTCAGATATTCAGATAATGTTAATTTCTTGTATTATCTCCTTCCACATCACTTTCACTGAAGTGCTTAGTGCAGGATACTGCTGAATTAACAAATGTTTGTCCTCTCCTTTGATCATATTGACCCAAAATTTATTAAAATTTTTACTATTGTAATCAAACTTCCCAGAGATGGGTTGCGGTTGGAAGGGCATCCGCTGCGTAAAACAAATGCTGGATAAATTGGCGGTTAATTCCGCTGTGGCGACCCCAGATTAATAAAGGGAGTAGGCCAATAAGAAAATGAATGAATGAATGGTTGTAATTAAACTTGTACTTGGTAAACACACACACACACTATAATCTACAAAATATATCCTACCCCATCTATCCTCAAACCCAACCCTCACAAGATACATTCATCATTTTACATTTTTACAATTATTCTTTCTGTGTGATTTATCATTTAAATTATTTAATAAATATAATTAAATATAAACTAAATATTCTGAGTCATTTCTCTCATGGGGCCCTAAAAAATGGACAAAATATACTGGTATTGCTATATATTGCATATACACACTACCTGACAAAAGTCTTGTTGCCTATTCAAGTTTTAGGAAAAACTAATAATAACTTCTAGTTGATCATTTGGTATCAGAAGTGGCTTATATAAAAGGCAAAACCCTCTAGATTACACTTATTTTACCAAAATAAAAATATGATCATGCCTTGATTTTTACTTATTTAATTAGGACAGTAAGGTCTGACTTTGCTCAGACAATACTCTTGTCACTTAACAGAAATAATGTAGAGTATAGAATATAAAGTCATGCTGCAGTGAAAAAAAGAATTAATATTGTGTATGACATCTCTGCAATGACTCAAATAACTTATTAATAAAGTCATCTGAAATGACAAAGAACGTGTCTTGCAGGACTCCCAGAGTTCATCAAGATTCTTTGGATTCATCTTCAGTCCCTCCTCCTTCATCTTACCACAGAAATGCTGAATAATGTTCATGTCTGGTGACTGGGCTGGCCAATTCTGGAGCACCTTGACCTTCTTTGCTTTCAGGAGCTTTGATGTGGAGGCTGAAGTATGAGAAGCAGTGCTATCCCGCTGAAGAAGTTGCCCTCTCCTGTGGTTTTTAATGTAATGGGCAGCACAAATGTCTTGATATGTTAGGATGTTGATTTTGCCATCCACTCTACAGATTTCTTGCATGCCGCCACACTGAATGTAACCCCAATTTTTTCCTTCACCAAACTTGACTGATTTCTATTAGAATCTTGGGTCTATGTGGGTTCCAATAGGTCTTCTGTAGTATTTTTGATGCAGTTGATTCATCATAAAAATCTTCCTTCTGCCACTTTTCCAAATGATCAACAAAAAAATCAACTTATTATTTGTTGCTCCTAAAACTAGGATTAAAGGCAAGACTTTTGTCAGGTAATGTACTGTGTATTTGATCCCCACATACTGTCTGTGGTTTATGAGAACTCTCCATAAACGTAATGTCTTTTACAGTTGTAAAGATCAACAATTATATTGCCTTACCCTACCTCTAAACCTAACCTTCACAAGAAACCTGTGGAAATTTTTGGATATCAAATGACTCGGTCAAGTTTGTTTTTTCCCCATTTTGAATTACAAGGAGAACACAGGGCATAAACCACCTCAACATTGTAATAGATTCACTATAAATTTGTGTCCTAGTATTGTATAGTGTACACGCAAAAAGGCCCAAATGGATTTGATAAAGTATGAATATCTTGCAGATAACACGTAACAAACTAATTAGAAAATGTTTTAAATCTTTCTTGAAATGTCTAAATATATATTTTGAAGTCAGAATTATTAGCCCCATATACTATTATGTTTAGAAATGTGCTGACAAAATCTTCTCTCCGTTAAACAGAAATTGGGGAAAAAATAAAATAAACTTTAACTGTATGTCTGAATACAAAAATCTCAATTCAAGTTTCAAATTGAAGTCCAAATTGAACAACTTTTGCTGTTTGTTTCAGTGTTTTAGTTCAGTGGTCCTCAACTTGTTTGGACAGGCGACCCAAAATTTTGTATAATTCTATCACCCAATATTTTATTTATTAAGCTAGTTACTTCAGATAATTTCCCATATTTGCTTCTTAAGTGAAACTAACAGTTTAATTTTTACTTAAATCTAATTCCTGGACGTTTTCAAAACCAGAACAAGCTCAAAACATTTTAGACTGTTTATGCCTCTATTTAGTGTCTTCCAGTTCACCGTAAAAAAAATGCTTGATTTAACACAATCGATTTGTCTTGGGTCAACATGAAGAAATTAAGTTAACTTGTTAGTTTTTACAAATTTAAGTGAATTGACAGGCCTGTAGCCAGGTGAGGTTTGGGTGGTTTGAAAGACCCACTCCTCACTGACAAAGGTCCAGATTTTGTCTGCTATGCCATTATAAATTGTGAATATAATCCATCAAAATCCCATCAAATTAAAATAAATTTAAATAAAATTGTTGTTATCCATGAATTTTCAAATGTACTTTTTAAAAAAATAGAGGCTAAAAAATTGTGAATCTCTGCATTATTTATATTATTTTTATTTTATTATTTTATTATTATTATTTAATTTTCTATTATTATTATTATTATTCCAATGGACTATTTCTGAAAGAGGAAAGTCAGTTTGTATTTATAATTTGCCTAATAAATGACAAAAGGCTTGTTTTTTTATTTAAAATGTATATATATATATATATATATATATATATATATATATATATATATATATATATATATATAATGATACATGATGTGATAAATAAAAAAAAAAATAAGTATTTAAGTTTTTTTTTATATTTCTTTGTTCTAAATTTAGGAAATATTTCAGACAAGCTAATCCATCTAAAATAGTGTTTAAAATGTATCGAAATATCATAATTGAATAGAAAACATTTTGAGAAAAAAAGAACCACCCCTTTCACCAAGCTGGCTACGAGCCTAATTAAACATGAAACGATTAAGTTTTCCCCAAAACACCTCAAGAATTCTATTGTTTCAGCTCATTTTAAATAAGCACTTTGATCAAGCAGCAAACATACATTTTTAAGTATCCATTGGATTCACAAAAATGCATCATCAAAACAAACCAATGTTTATTATCCACTGTCAATTTCATAACTTAAAAATGCAAGACCTCTCGTCAAGCAGCATGATGTATTCCACTAAATCTGCTGCACAAAAGGTGCAGGATGAGATGCACAGTAAAGATTCTTGCTTAAGGTTGTAACTCTATAACCTTCAGCAGTAAAACCCAGTAATGCTTTGGCATCCAGCAGACAAAAGGGTGGGACTGGCAGGAAAAAGCAGCGATGAGTATAGCTCATGTTCTCCTTTATGAGCCCCTCATCTAACGACCGCATTTGATTACAGTAAGGCTCAGAGTTAAAGAACTTTTTACAGGATTACCGCCAGTTTCCTCCAGCACACACACACACACACTCACACTGCTGGATGGTGGAGTGTTTCTGTGAAACCGGAGTGGGCTGAAGCTGTAATGAGGGCTATGAAGGGATGATGTTGAAGGCAGTCAGGCAAAACAGCGGGGAGTCACTCTGAATTGTACGATTCACTTCTCTGGTTGGTCTCTGTTGAGCAGTCCGTTCTGATTTCACAGTGGAGAAGCTGAAAGAGGCACTAAAAAGGTAAGAATTCCTGTTTGATGGTGTACGCAAAAGCTTTTTAAGAATTTATTACTCAGTTGTATGCAGGATGAAAGATGGTTAGTTGTTAGATAGTGTAGTAGATTTATAGAGAGCACATGGAGACTTCTTGAGTCTAATGCTTCTCAGATTGTTCGTCTGAGAGGAAAAAAGCGAGTATAATCTCCTCAGGAGTTGCAATAAGATCTTGATAATATCTCAAAATGTGCTGAAAGTCTGCAGTGGAATACCTTGGAATTGGAATGATTCGACCTGCTTTATGAAATGCATGCTCTCTTTAACTCTATACTCTTACAGTGTGTTTACAAAGTGTACATTTTCATTTATCGAAAGGGGATTGAGAAGAAACATCTCCAAAACTTTGAAAACAACTGCTAAGCAATACATTTTCATTATTCCTTTTGATTAAGCTTTTTAGTGAACATGTTTATGATTATGTAGTTGTTTTATAGTTGCTTATATTGTCTACGATATTGTCTATGGTTAAATTTTACAGCAAATTTAAATGAAAAATATTCAAAATGTAATTTAATGAAATGTATCTGTCGTGTATTGAAACATTTGTTATTACAGTTGTCATGATGTAGCAGTTTAGTACAGTTAAAATGTAAATATCCACACACACAGCAGTTAAAATCATGATCAATTTGAAAAGTGATTTAATTTCTCAAAACTGCGGCAATCACAAGATTAGCTTACTTTTGATTCAAACATTGCTAAAAATATTTTTAAAAATGTCTATGGAAATACATATTTTTACATATAAATACATATTATGTATGTGCACTGAGGTGGTCCTTTAAGAACAGGTAATATTATTTTGTAAGAAAAATAATGCTTTAAATAAAACACAAAAGTACAACACTAAAAGCTCAAAATTTCAATTATAAACTCAATTTTTTTTTATTCCAAGTTTGAAGTTTTAAACAAAATCCTATCACTAGGATAGTTTTTAACAGCAGGTGGTGCACTAGACTACTTTTTAAAAGCAGACGACGTTCTAGGATAGTTTTTAACAGCAGTTGGCGCTCTAGGCTAGTTTTTACCAGCAGTTGGGGCTCTAGGATAGTTTTTCCCAGCAGTTGGTGCTCAAGGCTAGTTTTTAACAGCAATCGGTGCTCTAGGCTAGTTTTTACCAGCAGTTGGTGCTCTAGGCTAGTTTTTAACAGCAGGCGGCGCTCTAGGCTAGTTTTTACCAGCAGTTGGTGCTCTAGGATAATTTTTAACAGCAGTTGGTGCTCTAGCCTTATTTTTAACAGCAGGTGGCACACTAGGTTAGATTGTAACAGCAGGCGGCGCTCTAGGCTAGTTTTTAACAGCAGGCGGCGTTCTAGGCTAGTTTTTATCAGCAATTGGTGCTCTAGGCTAGTTTTTACCAGCAGTTATTGCTCTAGGCTAGTTTTTAACAGCAGGTGGCGCTCTAGGCTATTTTTTTTAACAGCAATTGGCGTTCTAGACTAGTTTTTAACTGCAGTAAATGCTCTAGACTATTTGTAAAAGCAGGTGGTGAACTAGGCTAGTTTTTGACAGCAGATGGCACTCTATGCTAGTTTTTAACAACAAGCATCACCCTAGGCTAGTTTTTAACAGCAGATGGCGCTCTAGGCTAGTATTTAACAGAAATTGGTGCTCTAGGCTTCTTTTTACAGCAGGTGGCACCCTAGGCTAGTTTTAACAGCAATTGGTGCTCTAGGCAAGTTTTTAACAACAGGTGGCACCCTAGGCTAGTTTTTAACAGCAGTAAATGCTCTAGACTATTTGTAACAGCAGGTGGTGCTCTAGGAGAGTTTTAACAGCAGGCTGCGCACTCAACTAATTTTTAGCAGTTGGTGCTTTAGGCTAGTTTGGAACAGCAAATTGTGCTTTAGGCTAGCTTTTAACAGCAGAGTGTGCACTAAGCTACTTTTAACAGCAGGTGGCGCTCTAGACTAGTTTTTAAAAACAGTTGCGGCTGTAGGCTAGTTTTTAACAGCAGGTGGCACACTAGGCTAGTTTGTAACAACAGGTAGTGCTCTAGGCTGTTTTTTAAAAGCAGTTGGTGCTCTAGGCTAGTTTTATAACAGCAGGTGGTGCACTGGGCTAGTTTTAAACAGCATTGGTGCTCTAGACTAGTTTTTAACAGCAGGTGGTGCAGCAGGCTAGTTTTTAAGAGCAGACGGCGCTCTATGGCTAGTTTTTATGGACACTCTAAGCCAGTTTTAAAAGCAGGTGGCACTCTAAGCTACTTTTAACAGCAGGTGGTGCTCTAGACTAGTTTTTAACAGCAGTTGGCACAATAGTTTGTAACAGCAGTTGGTGCTCTAGGCTAGTTTTTAACAGCAGTTGGTGCTCTAGGCTAGTTTTTAACAGCATTGGTTCTCTAGGCTAGTTTTTAACAGCAGGCGGCGCTCTATGCTAGTTTTTAAAATGCACATTAAGAGTTTTTAAAGCATGTGGCACTCAAGGCTAGTTTTTAACAGCAGGTGGTGCTCCAGGATAGTTTGTAACAGCAGGTGGCACTCTAAGCTACTTTTAACAGCAGGTGGCGCTCTAGACTAGTTTTTAACAGCAGTTGGCACTGTAGGCTAGTTTTTAACAGCAGTTGGCACTCTAGGCTAGTTTTTAACAGCAGTTGGCACTGTAGGCTAGTTTTTAAAAGCAGGTGGCACACTAGTTTGTAACAGCAGATGGTGCTCTAGGCTAGTTTTTAACAGCAGGTGGCGCCTTAGACTACTGTTTAACCATACACTCAAATGCTCATGAGTCAAGAAAGCATCTACTTTTTGTTTGCTAACATTCTTCAAAATATCTTCTTTTGTGTTTAATAGAAGAAACTCTTTTTAGAGCAACATTAGTAAATAATGAGTAAATTTTTATTTTTGGTTGAATTATCCCTTTAAGTCAAGCTGATTTAAGCAGTCTAATGGGTAATCCAATCCAAACAAAACAGAGTCTGTGTGTGTTAATGAGACTCAGGGGGTGTGGAAATAAGGTGAAGATATACTGTCCCCCACTAAATGTCAAGTGTGAAAGGATGCTCTCTAATTTAAACTAGCACCCCTGGCTCGTGGCCAGAGAGGCGATGTTGTTTTTCGGCTTTGAAAGAGGGGCCAAGAGCTCTAATCTCCGCTCTCTCACATGATAAGGTCAGGCCGGGGTTGAGTGAGGGGTCTGGCCTGTTATGTGTTCATGATGAGTGGTCTTGATGGGGGTGGATTGGTGTTGTTTCTCTGTTCGGAGTGTGCAAAAGGTGCACGTTCATGCCGCTAATGGAGGAGTCGAGAGACGGGACTAATTTCTCAGATCATTTCCTACCACTTTGCCTTGGCCTCAGCCCCCCTTGTTCATTAGCAGTCATTAATTCTTCGGACAGACCATCAGAAAAGCCTTCAGGAGGGTGGTGAGAGTCGACGAGGGGCAGAAAAACAGCTATAAAACAAAGGAGCATGTGTGGAGGTCATGAAGGGTGTTTTGGGCCCCTGCTTGTTTTTGCCTCATTTGAAGGCATGAACGCTTTAAAAATTATGGGTTGCTTAAACCCAAATTTTGGTAAAATATGGACAAACTTAATTGTTGGGCTTTAAACAACATTTAACAATACAACCCTTGACTTTAGGGTGACTTGGTGGCTCAGTGGTTAGCACTGTCGCCTCAGCGAGTAGGTTGCTGATTTGAGTCCCAGCTGGGTCAGTTGGCATTTCTGTGTGGAGTTTGCATGTTCTCCTCGTCTTCGTGACAGTTTCCTCCGGGTGCTCCGGTTTCCCCCAGTCCAAAGACATGCGATATAGGTCAATTGAATAAACTAAATTGGTGAGGCAGTGGAGCAGTAGGTAGTGTTGTCGCCTCACAGCAAGAAGGTCGCTGGTTCGAACCTCGGCTCAGTTGGCGTTTCTGTGTGGAGTTTGCATGTTCTCCCTGCCTTTGCTCCGGTTTCCCCCACAGTCCAAAGACATGTGGTACAGGTGAATTGGGTAGGCTAAATTGTCCATAGTGTATGAGTGTGTGTGTGAATGTGTGTGTGGATGTTTCCCAAAGATGGGTTGCGGCTGGACGGGTATCCGCTGCGTAAAAACTTGCTGGATAAGTTGGCGGTTCATTCCGCTGTGGCGACCCTGGATTAATAAAGGGACTAAGCCGACAAGAAAATGAATGAATGAATAAACTAAATTGGCCATATGAGTGTGAATGTATGGATGTTTTCCATACTGGGTTGTGGCTTTAAGGGCGCAAAACATATCCTCCTGAGTCCTTGCTCATTGACTTGTGTCCTCTGTAGTAAACATTGTGTTTTAATAAATTTTCTTAGAATTTTTTTAGCTACTCTGTCAAGTCCTGTTGTACTGTTCAGAGGACATCCTGTGCCAAGAAGATGAGAAGATTTGAGTTTATCATTTAAAATTTAGATTTTTTTTTTGTTACAAAAACACATCGATTGCTTTATAAGACATGGTTTAATCCCTGGTGATGTAAGTGAAGGATGTATCAGCTTTTGAAAGCTTCAGAAAAAGGGCCACTACTACCAACATCATTATACAGCATGGAAAAGCCAGAAAAAAAATCTAATTTTAATCTGAGAGAAGGAAAGCCATATACACAGAGGATTTCTTGAGGATAAGTACATCATGTCGTAAAATACATTTTTGGGTGTTCTATTCCTTTAAGTGAACTGGATTACTTTGTTAATGTGATTGATTTAAAAAAAAAAGCGTGAAAGCTGCCATCCAAAACAAGTGAACCAACTTAGACCACTGAAAAAAGGTTTTAAATGAACTCTTGATTTGATTCAACTAAAATAGTCCCACAATATAGACTAAACACATGTAAATGGACTAAAAACAAGGCATTGGGCCCTATCATACACCCGGCGCAATGTGGCGCAATGTGCGGTGCAATACTTGTTTGCTAGTTTCAGCTTGGTGCAAGAGTCGTTTTGAGGCGTTGCGCTACGCTGTTTAAATAGCAAATGCATTAGCGCTCATTTGTGTGCCCATAGGCATTCTGGT